CTGAAGAAAGGTCTAGACCCGAAACGTCAGCTTTCCTGCTCCTCTGATGCTGCTTGGCCTGCTGTATTCATCCAGCTCTACACCTTGTCGTCTCAGATTCTCCAGCATCGGCAGTTCCTACTATCTCTGTAACAATGGGTATAGTAGATCAGGTTGGATGAAGTGCAGATGAATCTCTGCTGGATTTGGAAGGATTGTTTGCCGCCTTGGAAGAAGGTGAGAGGGGAGGTGTAGGGGCAGGTGTTGCACCTCTTGCGGTTGCAGGGAAAGGTACCGGGTGTGATGGTGGAGTTGGTGGGGAGTGTAAAGCTGACGAGGGAGTCATGGAATGAACAGTCCCTGCAGAAAGTGGACGGGGTGGGGAGGGAAATACCTTTTTGGTGGTGGGGTCTGACTGTAGGTGGTGGAAATGTCGGAGGATGATATGTTGGATTTGGAGGTTGGTGGGGTGGTATGTGAGGACTAAGGGGACTCTATCCTTATTGTTGTCGGGGGGAGGGGTTTTGAGGGCAGAAGTGCAAGAAATGGAGGAGATGTGGTTGAGGGCGTCCTTAATACCAGAGGGAGGTGTGGGGGGCGGAAATTACAGTCCCTAAAGTAGGAGGATATCTGGGATGTCCTGGAATGGAATGCCTCATCCTGGGAGCAGGTGTGGCAGAGGCAGAGGAATTGGGAGTATGGGATAGCATTTTAACAGGAGGCTGGGTGAGAGAAGATGTATTTGAGGTGGTTGTGGGGGTCAGTGAGTTTGAAATGGATGTCGGTGTGATGACTGACTTTCAAGGAGCCACAATGAAGACCTGAGGCCTGAAGACTATGAACAGCAGCTTGCATTTATATTTTGGCAACCACACAGCGAAATATCCCAGTGAATGGGGGCAACAGTGATCACAACTAAAGCTCTATCCAAAAATGAAGACATGAGTGACTGTATTCCCTCTCACAGGAGTGCCTTCTTGTAAGCATTTTAAAGGGTGAGAGGGAAGTGGAGAGGTTTTAAGGAGGGGCTTCCAGAGGCATAGCTGCTAATGGGGGATTGAGGCTGTGAAGGGAGATAAGTGAGTGTAAAGGGCAGCACGGTGGCTCAGTGGTTGGCACTGCTGCCTACCAGCACCAGGGACTGGGGTAAAATCCCAGCCTCGGGCGACTGTCTGTATAGAGTCTACACATTCTCCGCGTGTCTGCATGGATTTCCTACGGGTGCTCTGGTTTCCTCCCACAGTCCAAAGATGGGAAGGTTAAGTGGACTGGTCAAGCTAAATTGCCCCGTAGTGTCCAGGGATGTGCAGGATAGGTGGATTAACCGTGGGAAATGTGGGGTTATGGGGATAGGGTAGCAGTGCGGGAGGAGGGCATTTGGGCGGGGGGGGGAGGGTGTCAATGTTCACTTGATGGGCCAAATGGC